TACCTCCCTGATCCCTGTAGGCGTTTGAGTCTGCAGCCCCTATACTGAGTGGAAGCTGCTGCTAAACCAAGCCTTTTACAGATGATTTCTCCCTTGATCCTTATAATAACCTACCTGTGAAATAGGTTCCTTGTCCCATTTTACAGATGTAAAAACTGAGGCTGAAAGCGAGTGACTTCCTCCAAGGTGATCCAGCTGGTGAATGGCTGAGTCGGGGGTCAAACTGACTGGCTGGCTTATTCCTTTTTTCAACAGATCTTTAATGAGCACCTACTATGTGCCAGGTGCAGGTCCTCTATCTAATTCCTGTGCTTTTGCCCTCACTCTCCCAGCCTTTGTCGTTCTGGCTCTTAATTCTTTCCACATAGAAAGGAGGGAACACAGTCCCCCTGAGTAGGAAATTAATAATGATAGAGCACTGCCTAAAATACACCCTGTTGAGCCCCCAGAGAATGCCACAGAACAGCACGTTGATTATACATTGTATATTTTTGGCTGTGGCAGCCACTGAAATGTGCAGTTCAGCTCCTGGACAGCTTTGCACTCAAACCAGCGAGCTGTTCTCCTGTGTCACAACCTGTCATCCGATCCTTGACAGATTTTGGATCAGAATGTGACAGGTGTCTGGAACCTGCCTCAGCAACGTGACACCTGGCGCTCAGGCACAGAGAGAGGCCCCCAGAAGTCTTCTTTCACATCCAGCCTGCCGGGCCGGTGAAAGGCACCGGGGGCTGCCACCGGGCCATCAAGCCTGTCTGCTCGTTTGTCAAAAGCGCCGGGGGGTGTGAGGTGGGTTGTGGGGGACGCCCCAACCCTGCCCGACCAGCCGTCCCCACGTGCGAGAACCAAGTGGGCCCCAGCAGAGATGTCTCAGTGATTGGCAACTTGTGGCGCACAGGCGTTCTCGGCGCCTTGGAGCAGAGCTTCGCGCTGTCAAGCCGCACACCGCGAACCCTGCTCGCTCCCTGCAGAAGTGGGTGGCAGGAATGCCGAGGGTGCTCTCGAGGGCAGGGTAGACAGGAGCTTCACGTCAGCCAGACCTGGCTGCCAGTGCCAACTTGGTACCTTACTAGCTTAATGACCTTGAGTAAGTCACTCGCCTCTCTGAGCCTCAGTTTCCCCCTTTGTAAAGTGGGGATGATGGCAGCGTATCCATAGAAACACTAATAGCAGCCACTATTGGCAGAGCACCTAGCTCATGCCCGACATCGTACAAAAGACTCACTCCGTTTCAGACACATGGCAATCAGGCAGACACAACCCCGTTTATAAGGGAGGAAACAGACTCAGAGCCAAGGACCTGGCTTAAGGACACACAGCCAAGAAGGGGCAGAGCTGGGACCCAAACCCAGGCCCACCTGACTCCAAATCCCGCGTTCTTCACTTCCCAGGGGCAGGAAGTATGGCCGGATCATCATCCTCAGAGCCCCGGCACGTTGTGTGCGTTTGGTGAATGAAATGTAAATGGTGGGTGCCTGCGTGGTGGGAGCTGCTGCTGCTGTTATTTCATCTGTGTACACCTTGTTTGGTCCTTGGAGAGCAGGAATTTTGTTATGCAGAATTGAAGAAACCTAGATAAACATTTAGCTGTTTCCCCACTCGTGACCTTGCTGGAACTACAGCCCGGTTCTTGTTCTGAAATCAGTCCCTGGGGCATCTATAGGGTGATATATTATCTGAGACTTTTGCAAATGACAGAAATCCATCTCAACTAGGCTTTGGCAGAAAAGGAATTTATTGGCTCCTAACTGAGAAGACCAGAAGTAAACGGCTTCAGGAATAGCTTGATCTAGGGGCTGAAACAATGTGGTCAGAAATCTCTCCATCTTCCATGCAGTCTCTGACCATGCGGCAGGGCAGATAATTTTGGCAGCCTGTGTCTGAAGTCAACTAGTCAATTAGCAGCTCCAGTGGAAAGAGGAAGAGAAAATACTGATTGGCCCAGATGCCCATCCATGACCAGTCACCGAGGCAGAGGCGTCTGTGGCCAGGCCTAGAATATGAGCTCAGCTCCATCCAAGCCCCATGGGAAGTCCTGCAGGAAACAGGGGTTCTTTCACCAGGGGAGAGAGATGGTGTGCCAGGTGGTCAAAGCCGTTAGCTGTCCCAGAGCAACAGCTATCAGATGGACAGGGCGGACGGGCAGAGGGCCTCAGCCTCAGGCAGGCCGAGCAGGAACCGCCTGTACCTTCTCCCGCAGGAGCTCATCGACATGAATCAGCACCACCTGAACGCCCTTGGCGTGGGCCACGCCTCCCTGGACCAGCTCTGCCGGGTGACCATGGCGCGTGGACTGCACAGCAAGCTCACTGGTGCAGGCGGCGGCGGCTGCGGCATCACACTTCTCAAGCCAGGTACCGGGGTTGGGGGGAGCGGGCCAGGTTGCCAGCCTGGGCTTCTATGAGGGTTCCGTCCGGAGAATGCCCTTGGGAGAAGGGAGCGGCCTGCGAACAAGTCTCCGCTCTGATGCGTGGTCTCGCGCGAGCTAATTAACCGCTCCGGGCCTTCGTTTCCTGGCTGGTAAAGTGAGGACGGGAGTATCTAGCTTGCGAGATCGTTGCGCAGATTCAAAGACAAAAGTGCATGTAGAGAGAGCCTGGGGCCGGGCGGGGCTGCAGTGGGCTGTCGCCGTGGCTGTCACCACCACCTCCGTGCCTGCCAAGCCTCCCACCAGCCTGGGACCAGCCAGGGCATTGTCACGCTCCGTGCCTGCCTCACCTTCCTCTCCCGCCTCTTGACGTGGCCAGGGTGGGGGCTGATCTTGCTACAAAATGTGGGTCTCTTAGGGAATGAAATCTCCCGCGCTGGTGACTGGGGACCCGGCCAGGGGCTCCTGGTGGTTTCACTGCCCGACACACCATGTCTGCCCTCAGGATCATTCCTGGCATACAGGAGGCGCCAAATGTTCCCCTCTGTTGGTTCCTAGCTCAGGGCCCACGACGATGGTGAGAGTTGCCCAGTGTGCCAGGTGCTGGGCCAGGCACTTTCCTGCGTTGTCCCATTTAAGCCTCACAGGAACCCCAGAGGGGTAGGTATTATTAGCCCCTTTCCCGGATGAGGAGACTGAGGCTCAGAGAGGGGAAGTTGCTTGTGTGAGGCTGCGTGGTGAATACATGGCAAGGCCAGGTGACTCGAGAGCACGTGTTTTAACAGCTCTGCGAACCCCCAGGGAGCGGTAGGGCACGAGGTCTTGGCGCTGCAGCACGCGCGGGGGCTGCAGGGGGCCTCTTGGAGCCTCACAGGCCTGTTGGCTCAGGTGGGGTCACAGCAGGAAGGCACGGCAGGAAGACGTGGACCCTGGGCCTTTTCCTTGGATGGGATGAACTTTCCCGAAGGGAGTGGACAGTCGTCACTGGTGACCTGCCTTCCCTCCCCCCAGGTCTGGAGCGACCCGAGGTGGAGGCCACGAAGCAGGCGCTGACTGGCTGTGGGTTTGACTGCTGGGAAACCAGCGTGGGTGCCCCTGGAGTCTCCGTCCACTCAGCCGCCTCCCTGGACGGCCCCGTCCGGCAAGCCCTAGGTGGCCTCTGAGATGAGCCCAGGACACTGCCGCCCCTCCAGGAAACCCTTTCTGGATTATTCTGGGGGCTGGATTTGGCCTCCGTGCTGGCCAGCGGGTGCCCAGCTCCTCTGTGATGCCTTTGCTACGGCACGCGGCCCCCAGTCCCCGCGGTGGGACTCGAGTCTGCCCCGGGCTGGGCTGCCAGGGAGACGCGGTCTGCGTTCTCTCGCGCCAGCCAGGCGACGGGGCCCGGTGGGGTCCTCTGAGACGTCAGACCTGAGACACGAGGAGCTTCCCCACCTTCCCTGCGGCTCCCACAGACCCTTCTACTCTGGGCCCTTGCACCCTCACCCGCAGACTCCCTGGCCGGCTTGGTCGCATGCCTGGATGCCGGGGTCTGTCCTGAAGCAGCGTACCTTCTCTCTCCTTCTGCCTCGACACTTCCCTGTCTCCCAGGGCCCGGGCTGCCCCCACCTCCTCCAGGAAGCCCTCCCTGACCCCTGGCAGGCTGAACCTTGCCGCACCTCCCTCCCATGGCGCCCGCCGTCTGGTCTGAATCATTCGGCACTTTCCACACCTGCACTTCTGTCCGGCTAGACGGGCCCCCCAGGGGCTATCCGGGTGGGGGTCTTTGCCCTCTGCCCTCCAGCCCGAGGGGCGGCTGAACGAAGGCAGAACCAATGTGCAGTTCCTTCCAGTCTGCACCTGAGGGCTTTGCAGAAAAGACAGCACAGGGGGAATAAAACGACCTTGAGTAAACAGTGCTCTACTCCGTGTGCAGAAAGACGGGGCCGGGTAGACTCCAGCCCATCGTGTGCCTTCCCCTGTCCCCGTCCCCTCTCCCGCCGCTTTCTCGGTGGACCTCTTCAGCGGTTGAAGGAATTAGGGGCTTTGGGTCACTGCGTGTGTCTTAGTGATGGGGTGGTTTTCCCAGATGGCCCTTGCTGTACAAGGGACCAGGACACTTCTGCCAGGACGAGGCTCTCAGGCCACTGGCCCAACTCCAGGCTGCTTTGCCGGAGGGGACTGTTGAGCTTCCTGCCTTCTGGAATCCGAGCACCCGCCGATGCACAGACTTTAGTAAACCATGGAAACAAAAACCTGCAGCAGCTCCTGGAATGTTCCTTTCTGAAATTAACTGACCATCAGGTGGGGAAGACAGACTCTTGGTGTTCATTTCCCCAGTGCCTATTTGAGGTTCGTGTCGCCAGTCGACTTGGCTCTTTCTGAAATGTCAGAATCCATCGGGAAGCTGTGTCGCTATCGCGTTGCCCACAGAACCCCTGGGAGCCACAGGTCCGCAAGAGGCAGGGCAGAAAGGTGGGGGGTGGGGGCAGGGATGTCAGGATTTGGTTGAAATGGCTCAGTGCGCGTCTGCCCTTGGCCACTAGGGGGCAGCTGGCACCTTTCCCAGCTGGTGTCATCTGGGGAGAGGGTAAGAGAGAGCAGGGCCTGATGTCCACCCCTGTGCCCAGGCTCCTCTCTGGGCCCTGCCTGGGTCACTGCTGGGAACGGGAGGGCAAGAGGAAGGACACCTGCCCAGCATCACCGATGGCGGTTCCCTGGCCCTGCCCTTTAAAACACCGTGCATAAAACAATAATGTTAATACGGAGCACTTAGCATGGGCCAGGCACTGCTCTAAGTACTGTACACATATCATCTCTTCATCTCTACTCCAGCTTCAGAGTGTAATTTGCTAGTCTCAGCCCCATTTTACAGGTCAGGAAATCAAAGCTCAGAGAGGTTGAGTAACTTGTCCAAGGGCACACAGCTAATCAGCATCTGAGGCAGGATTCAAACTCAGTCTGATTCCAGAGCCTGCTTCTGCTGGGCACAGCTCTAGGCGCAGGTTCGTTGCAATTTTATAGGCTTTCATGCCCAGGCTCGTTATTTCCTCTGAGGTTCTGATGTATTTGGGCAGGGCAGGTCCTGGGCATGTGTACTTTTCTCCCCACTTGGTTCGAGTGAGCAGCCAGGGCCAGAGACAGTGTTCTCAGGGATGATGCTGGTTGACAGCCAGTTGGCAGCCTGTTGGAGGTGGGCCTGGGGGCCTTCCCGGGGCTTCCATAGGTGCCCATGACAGCTGTAAAACTGGAGTGGGGGGCAGAGCCTGAGACCCCAGAGCCTGCCTGCTCCTTGAGGCCTTCCCCCTTTCTCATTCCCTGGGATCAGGACGTCCCTCCTGGGGCAGGGCCCGACTCAGTGCTCTTGCCCCAGCGAAGCAGCCACCTGTGTGCCTTGGCCAGCGCAGCCTCTCCACCCAGCCACCCCCTGGGCCCGGTGCCAGCTGCTCTTTGGCCACCTGTCTTTGATATCCCTTTGCAGACAGTTTGCATATGCAGCCATCACTCCTCATTGTGTACTGCAGTGGTTCTCACGCTCAGCTGCACGTTGAAATCACCTGGGGAGCTTCTGCAAGACGCCTAGGAATGCCTGGCCGCATCCCCAGATACTCTGGTTTAACTGGTCTCAGTGCGACTCCGTCACCGGTAACTTCAAAGCTCCCAGGTGATTCTAAAGTGTGGTCCAGGCTCTGCTTCAGCTCTGCCACCCCATTAGCCTTGGCAAGCCAGCCCACCTGTGGGGGCCGCAGCTTCTCATCTAGAAAACAGGGTGATAGTACCCACCTTATAGGCTTATGGCGACTGAATGAGAAAATACACAGAAAGCCCCTAGCACATAGTAAGTGCTCAATAAATGCTTATTCTCACTGTCTTGTGCTGAAAAATAAGGGTGTCTCTGAGAGCCCAGAAACTTCAGAATGGTGTACAGAGCTGGTTAGAAGCACCCCACCCAGTTGGTCCAAAGCCCCTAGGTTGAGATCCCTTGAGTTGACGTTGGAGAAACCCAGCTGCCACCTTCCAGCTTCCTCCCCAAAGAGGCGGTCACATAAGCACCAGCATCCCCTTTGCCAGGGATGGCAGTTTGTCTCAAGCCAGCATTTGGAGCTGCTCCCCGCCTCTGCAGCCGACTATGGATTTAACTCCCACGCTCAGAGCCCGAAGCTTGCAGGGCATCCCTGGGTCTGGCCCGGGTCTCGCAGCCAAGACAGTAGCTGCCGCGGTTGCACCCACGTTCTTTTGTTGGTGAGGATTCTTCCCTCCCAAAGAGTGTTTCCCGTGGGCCACCAGCAGCCGGTCACAGTTGGCAGCTGGCTCCAGGTCCGCAGGCACATGCACGGTTGGGGCCCAGCCCTGCCATCGAAGTGTGCTTGGCCCAGTCGGTCCCTTTGCCTCTTGAGGCCTCTGTGCTGTCATTCTCATTCCTCAGCAAGAGCTCTTCGTAAGCACCGATGCTGGTGGCCCGCCCCTCTCCCGTGCTCCCTTCCCCAGCCCTTCCCGGCTTCCAGCTAATGTGGGACAAGCTCCTCGGCTACCTCTTAGCACCACTGTCTGCCAGGAAGGGGCAGGTCATGTGCTTGCAGAATCCAGGTCCTTGTTTTTGGCTTTCAAATTACAATTTTTCTACTATTACATAAACAATATATATATACACTATAGAAAAAAAATAAAATACAGGTATGCAAAAATAAGAAAATCAAATGCTGTGTTTTTACCACGCAGAGATCATACCTATTAACAGCTTCCACCTCTCCCTCCGTGTGTATTTGTGTGTGTGTGTGTGTGTGTGTGTGTGTGTGTGTGTGCTGTTCAATAAAATGAGATCATATTGTAAATGCTATTTTGTTACCTGCTTTTTCTGTTAACAGTCACCTTTCTGTGTCAATATGTTTTGTGTTGTTTTGTTTTCAGTGCCTCTACCTGAGATGAATCTGTGTCAAATATGCTTTAATCTCTAATGCCCAGGCCATAGTCACATGTCCCCCAGCTGTCCCCCAAAATGTCCAGGACCCTGTCCAGTGCCACACATCTGGCTGTTAGAGCCCTGAATTGTCTTTTAGCCTAGCAGAGCGCCCTACCACACACACACATCGTCACACTTTTTTTTTTGCCATTATGTGACTTGCTCAAGAGACCCCGCCGGTCATCTCTCAGGGCGTCCTGTCATCTGTGCTGGTCCTTCAGAATCCAGCCCTTCCCTGTGCCGCTGAGAGCCGACAGCCAACATTTACAGAGCGCCTGCTATATGCCTGGTCCCCGTGCCGCCTCTCTGTTCATGGAGATGTCATTCTTATCCCCATTCTCTTGGTGAATAAACTAAGGCCTAGGGAAGGGAAGGGACTTGGCCAGGGGCGTGAGGCAAGCAAGCAGCAGAGCTGGACTTGAACTCAGGTCTCTGTGACCTCGGAGCCCTAGTCCCAGCTGCTGTTATAAGCTGTTTCCTCGGGGAGAGGATCAGTGACCTCTCAAAGCCCCCCGCCCCTCCCTGTCTGGTTGACAGAACTGAGTTCTCACATCGCAGGCTCACCCTCCTGCCCCAGGGCCCTCATTGCCACGCGCAGCTCGGACCCCCTGCTGCCTGTACGACAAAGGGGCAAGTTGACCCAGCCACACACGATGCGTTCTTGTCTCTCGCTGTGCCTGGAGCCCTCACCTCTCCACGTCCAAGGAAAACCTGCGTGTGGAGTGGAAGGAGCTTCACACTATGTGTCCTCTCAAAACTGAAACGGATCAGGACAAAAGTCTCCAGTGTCAACCCAACAGATGTTTCAGCTGCTTGTAATTATGGTCCCAAAGCGTCACTGTCAGAACCCTTGGAAATCACATGGTCCAACACCTCATTTGCTGTTGATGGGGAAACCAAGGCCCAGAGAGGGCAAGAGACCTGCCGAACGTCACACAGCAAGCTGCCTCATCCTCTTTCTTGTCTTTTGGTTTTCTGCACACGGTGCGCGCGTCACAGGAGGAGCACGTGGGGTCCAAAGACTCATCTCAGGATACAGTTTCTGCACTTGCTGACTGCATGGCTGAGCGCAGGAACCCCCTGCTGCCCTCCCTCTCTTGGCCTCAGTTTCCTCAAATGCAACATGCCAGGCAGTGTGCTAAACCCCTCAGGCACCGTCACATTTAATTCCCACAACAACTCTGGGGTGCAGGTACAACAAGGTAACAGTCCCTTGTCCGACATCCTGAGGCCAGACGTGATTGGGAATTGAGGATGTTGCAGGTTTTAGGGATAGACCCTTGTGTTTCATCCTCAGTGGCTTCTGGGGCAGCCTCACCCACCCTCGACTCTACAGCAGAAGGTCTGAAGAGTCCCACAAAGTGGAGTAAAGACCGTAAGTGATAAGTCAGCCCACGTCGTGTTCGCTGCCAAATGAATTTCGGCTCCAAGCTCCTGGGTTTCAGAGCATCTTGGATTGTGGGCCTGAATTATTCTCCCATTTTGCAGAGAAATAACAAATGCTCCCTCAGATAGGTTCAGTGACTCACCCTGTCGGTCCGGCTGAATGCAATGTCCCTCAACACAGGGTCCGCTCAGGGCCCATCTTTGTCACTTGGGGTGAGGGGGCTCTGTGCTGGCCATTGGGGGCTGACACGCTGTCCTTCCTGGTGCAGGGGGACGGGGAGGGGCCCGGAGTCCTGGGTACACGGGCTCAAGCTAGTAAGTCAAACCAGAGTCTTTTTTCTTTTCCCCCCACCGTAAGCCTTGTAATGTGACAAATGAGCCTGCAGAGAAATGGCCCAGTGATGGGCCCAGGCCACCAGCTGCTGGGGTTCCTGGGGCTCTGCTTCCCCCTGCAGACTGGGAGCAGGAACGCGGCCACCGTCTGAGGGAGAGGGAAGGGGCTCCCTGTCCTCCCAGACTCCCCCACTCCCTCCAAGCCTTGGGAGGGGGAGGGGAGGCCCTGGGCATCAGTTCCCACCACGCTATGGGCTTACAGAGGGGCCAGCCACTTAATGGCACACAGGAGGCAAGAACAAGATGGCAGTTGGGCCCTTTTACAGGCAGCTCTGCCAAACCCTGCTCTCCCCCTGCTCGGAGATTAACAGGGTCTGTTATACAATGTTTCAAATCTGATAAGGAAAACATCCATTTTGAGGTATTTGCATAATGCATTGGCTGAGGCCG